CAGAGCGGTTGGCTAAAAGTTACATCTGCGAGATTGTTCGCCTTCTCGGTGTGCCGGTGTCCATCATTTCAAATCGAGGCACACAGTTTACATCACAATTTTGGAGAGCCGTGCAACGAGAGTTGGGCACCCAAGTTGCTTTGAGTACAACATTTCACCCTCAGACGAACGGACAGTCCGAGCGCACTATTCAAATATGTGAAGACATGCTACGTGCTTGTGTCAATGATTTTGGGGGTTCTTGGGATCCGTTTCTACCACTCGCGTAGTTTGCCTACAACAACAGCTACTAGTCGAGCATTCGGATGGACCTGTATGAGGCTTTGTATGGTAGATAGTGTCTATCTCCGGTGGGTTAGTTTGAGCCTGGGGAGGCTAGGCTAATGGGTACGGACTTGGTTCAGTATGCTTTGGACAAAGTTAAATTGATTCAGGATCGGCATCACACAGCGTAGTCTAGACAAAAGATTTACGCCGATAGGAAGGTTCGTGATGTTGCTTTCATGGTTGGGGGGAAGGTACTGCTCAAGGTTTCACCCATGAAGGGTGTTATGAGATTCGGGAAGAAGGGCAAGTTGAGCCCCCGGTATATTGGGACGTTTGAGGTGCTTCAGAGGATCAGAAATGTGTCTTACAAGCTTGCCTTGCCACCTAGTTTGTCGAGTGTGCATCCAGTGTTTTATGTTTCTATGCTCCGGAAGTATGTTGGCGATCCATCTCATGTTTTGGATTTCAGCACGGTTCAGTTGGATGGTGATTTTACTTATGATGTGGAGCCGATGGCCATTTTGGATTGGCAGGTTCAAAAGTTGAGGTCAAAGGACATAACTTCAGTGAAGGTGTAGTGGAGAGGTCAGCCAGTTGAGGAGGCTACTTGGGAGATCGAGCGGGAGATGCAGAGAAGATATCCATGCCTATTTGAGACTCCAGGTACATTTCTAGACTCGTTCGAGGACGAACATTTGTTTAAGAGGGGGGAAACGTAACGACTCGGCAGGTCATTTTGAGAGTTGTAGCCCCGTTACCCCATTTACTGCTCATTTTGTACTTTATAGTTGCTATGTGACTTGCCGGGGTAGTCGGTTCGGATCCGGAGGGATTTCAGAATGAATTGAGACACTTAGTCTTAAGGTTGGAAGCTTAAGTTGAAAAGGTTGACCAGATGTTGACTTATGTCTAAATGACTCTAGAATGGAGTTTTTTTGGTTCTGTTAGCTCCGTTTGGTGATTTTGGACTTAAGAGCGTGTCCAGATTGTGACATGGAGGTCTATAGTTGAATTATGCTTGAAATGGCGAAATTTGGAAATTTAGAAGTTTGATCGAGAGTGGACTTTGTGGTTACCGAGCTCATATTGGAGTTTCGGAAGTTGGAGTAGGTCTGTGATGTCATTTGTGACTTGTGTGCAAAATTTAGGGTCAATCGAACGTGATTTGATAGATTTCGGCATTGTTTGTAGAAGTTAGAATTTCCTTAGTTTCAATAGGCTTGAATTGGGGTGTGAATTATGTTTTTTATGTTGTTTGAGGTCTCGACTAAGTTCGTATCATATTTTAGGACTTGTAGATATGTTTGGTTGAGGTCCCGAGGGCCTCGGATTAATTTCGGATGGTTAAGGGGTCAAAAACAAGACTTAGTGCATTGTTGAAGGAAGGAGTCTGCTGGAGTAATCGCACTTGCAGATTTTTGATCGCAGGTACGATCTCGCAGAAGCGAGCATGGAAGTGTAAAAGCGGAAAGGAGAGAGTGGGGCAGTGGCCGCAGGTGCGAGGGAAATTTCGCACCTACGTGATCGCAAATACGGACTGCTTCTCGCAGAAGCGGAAGGGCGATCGCAGAAGCGGAGGCAGTGCAGCCTTGGCAAAACTGCAGAAGCTGTGCGTTTTCCGCAAAAGAGGAACCGCAGATGCGGTTAAGTGTCCGCAGGAGCGAAAAGGCTGGACAGAACATTTAAATTCAAGGGTTCGCGATTTTTCTTCATTTTGAACATTTCATGCACGGGATTGGGCTTTTTTTTTTAGAGGAGTTTAGAGGGGTTTCTTGAGGTAAGTCACTTGTGTTCATTTTTAATCAATAATCATGTTTCCCCATTGAATTTCCCACCTAGTTTGTGTATATTTAAGGTGGAATTTGAGAATTTGGGGCTAGGGATTTGGAGAGTTTGATTTTGGGTTTTGGGTGGCGATTTGGTGTTGGATTTTGATAAATTTGGAATGGTTGGACTCGTGGTTGGATGGGCTTTTGAGTTTTATGACTTTTATCGGATTTCGAGACGTGGGCCTGGGGGGCGGCTTTTGAGTCGACTTTTGACTTTTGATTAATAAATTAGTATTTTTCTTATGGAATTAAATCCTTTAGCTCGTGTTGATTATCTCGAACTGTTTGTGGCTAGATTCGAGGCATTTGGAGGCTGATTCACGAGGCAAGAGCATATTGGAGTGGGGATTTGCACGGTTTAAGGTAAGTAACAGTTCTAAATTTTGTTCTGAGGGTATGAAACCCCATAATATGTGTGATGCGATTGGTTTTGAGGTTACGCACATGCTAGGTGACGGGCATGTGGGCGTGCACCGTAGGAATTATGACTTGGTCAATTCCATGGAACTGAATAGTTGAAAAGAATCTGTTGTTATCTGTATATTCTCCATGTGTTATAGAAATTGAACTGCAAATCATGTTTAGACTATGTGTTGGCATTGTAGGGACCCACAGAGGTCGTGTACACGTTGGATTAGCTGCGAAATTGCTATTTTGTACTCAATCGTAGTTTTACTTGCATATTATTGCAATCTCTATTGTTCATTATTGATACATTATATCATTGTTGTTTGGGCTGATTATCATGATTACTGAGAGTCGAGAGACTAGAGAGGTTGATGACTGAGTGAGGCCGGGGGCCTAATTGTGAGGATATTTATGGGATCGGGATGCACGCCGCAACATATTTTATTGATTTATGCCATGATTGGCTTGTTATAGCGTTTGGGCTGAAAAAGTCCCTTCGGAGTTTGTACACCCACAGGGAGCGCAGTTGATTTGTATTGAGGGATGGATCTTACCCGAATCACTTATATTTGGGGATGAATTTTTTCTTAGCTGGATTGGCCTTATACAGTATTGAGTGACTAACTGTCAGTCGATATATATATATCCCCCTGGGGTGGATTAGCCATACAACATGTAGATGTAGAGAGATCGTATACCTCATATCATTCAGAATTGATTTATCTTACTTGCACTGAGTTTAACTGTTGAACTTGAAAGCATGTCTATCTTTCTATGTTGTAATTTCTGTAATTGACCTATATCCGTGAAGCTCGTCACTACTTTCAGTCCATTATTTAGCCTTGTTACTTACTGAGTTGGTTGTACTCACGCTACACCTCTACACTTCATGTGCAGATCCAGGTGTTTTCGGACACGGTGGGTGTTGATCTCTTTGCACAGCTTGATCGTTTGGAGATTCCAAGATAGTTGCCCGGCGTTCGCATACCTTGTCTCTTCTTCTCTATCTTGCAGGTTTATGTATTTAGTTTTAGTCTTTCATGGACAGTATTTCTAGACTTGTGTTGTATAGACGCTCATGTACTGAGTGACACCCCGATATTGGGAATTTCCGTATTGGCTTTTGACCTTCTATCCAGTTTTGAGGGTTTTGATGATTTACACATGTATTATTCTTATTTTTCATTTAAAAGTGTTGGAAATATTTTGAAGTGTCGGCTTGCCTAGTACCACATTAGGCACCATCACGACAGGCTAAGTTTTGGATCGTGACACTTATATTGGTTGTTTCCTATTTTGAACCATATATGGACTATGGAGTAGTATAAGTACAAGCAATTATCCAATAAAATTCATTTTAATAAACCATTTGACGGTTCGTTGTGAACTGTCCTTATCTAGACCTATTAATCGACTATATACATGAATCTGTTGTTTTCCTGTTCCATTTATTATGTCTAGTTAATTTTCTTGTTTACCCTTAGAAAAAGAGTAGATAAAATACTTAATTAAGTGGAGAAAAACTCTACCAATATATATTCATATAAGAATAAGATATGAGCATTGAAACCTTATTCATTAGGACCATAAAGGAGAGGGGCCTGGCGGCTAAGCAATCATCTTACACCACCAGTAAACACCTCCCAAATATTTGCATAAAGTTCATATAAAAATTTAGATGCTGAATTAACATTTTGTAACTTAATTAGTAAATGGATGGATGTGATCTCTTTGCCCTTAGCTAGACGTCTCAAGCTTCGAATCCTGAAAAATTCATGATAGAAAGTGTTTTGTGACGCCCATGATGGAGGCGGGCCGACGAGGGCATGTTAAGTAGAACTGGCAGGCTTCTAGGCTAGCAAATTTCTAAAGGAGTGCACATGTTACCTTAGGCAAATCCCACATCGGAATGGAAGAGAAAAGTGAAAAGCTTTATAAGGCACAACACAAGATTGCATGATGCGTGCACTTTTGGGGCTCGATGTGGCGTAGTCCAAGGGACAAACCTTTAGGTTTGTTTGTCCAAAGCGGACAATATATGCTATGGACTTGGGTCGTGATATGTTTCTCCATTAAATGAATTCTACACAGTACGATTTTTGGATTAGTCGAATAATGGATTCCGAATACTAAATGATTAAAAAATTAGGAAAAAAAACAGACAGAGCGGAGCGACTCAAATTTCAAAGGGACTATATATGTAAGAAAAAACAATAATAGATGTCAAATAAGAACAGTATTAGACATACATGGCAAGTGGTAATGCTACATCATATTCAGCCATAGCCGACGCTTAAGACAAATTTCATCTTCTTCTGCTTCTTCCTTTAATTATTTTAATCTTCTATCTTTTTCAGGTAACCTTTTAAAAAAAGTTGCTCAGGCTTGGCAACTTCTCTATATATATAAGTTAATGGAAAAGCCGCAAATGTATTCTTATTAAGGTTTACTGCTAAGACAAACTTACACTAAAAGTTTGGAACATAGAAAAATAAAATGGATTCCTATTCATATGCTATTTCCTCCTCTTCTTCTAATTCTACTTCCTCTAGTTCTATTCCATATTCACAAGAAGTAAAGAAAAACAAACCATTATCTTCATATCATTCCTCACTTCATGGAGTTCGTAGGCTCCCATCAAAACCAATGACTAAACAACCAATTGCCCCATTGCCACCAACACGTCCTAAAATCTACAAAGTGGAACCTGCTAATTTCAAGGAAGTCGTCCAAATGCTCACTGTTGCTCCTGAGTTTCAATCCAACTCCATTAATTCTAGTTGTGGTTCTGACCCTGGCTCTGGCTCCGGCTCTAGTTCTAGTAATTCCAGTTCGAGACGTTTACAAGATGTGGCTCCTCCACCACTTGATCTCTCACCAGTTTCATTGACAAGAAATGGCAATAATATTGCTGCACAATGGCGCGAGTTCCTACGTCCTTCTTCCTCAAACAACCAAGTTGAATCAATTAATGCGACTAACAATGACTCGACAAATGAAGCACAAGAAAGATCACATGCAACGCCACGAAATCTATCAGAAAATTATTTTGGATCGTGCAGTCCGCTAGCTAATTTTCCTCTATCGCCTGCTTCTTTTGCATGGTGTTCTTCTATTCTTCTAAGCCCTGGAACCCTTCCTTCACCAAATGCGGTTCTTTAGCTCTTTTGATATTGCCTCGACTTATTTGAGAGTTGTAACTTATTATGCTTTACTGTTTACAATATGAGTAGTATTATATATATTTACTTGTGGGGTTGGATCAAGAATTTGAATTGGAACTAAATTAAAGATATCACAACTCAAATACTTGAAGTTGCTTTATTTTCTTCACTTTAACCTTTTCTTCCAATTCCAAAACATCAAATGTATTGTATTTCAAATTTCATTCAAAAAGTAACTAGGTTTACAGTTTCAACATACTAAAAATCATTTCCTCTTCTAACACATTCTTCCCAACTACTCATAAACAATCCTTGCACCAAGAGAAATTTAAAAAGAAAAATTATGTGTTTGCCAGCAACCCAAACCTTAATTAATTATACATACATATTCAACCTTGAATCAAGAACATTTTTTTTAAAATTAAACATTCATATTCGACTTTGAACCAGGAGGACTATATGACTTTTCCTTTTGAAGATTATGTTGTGGAGTTGGTGAGACATTTGCTCTTGAGCTCTAGCATATGAGGTGGTTCACCCCGAAATGTGTTGAAGCAGAGCAATTGACTAGACATCTAGGCTAAAGCATTATTTCAGTGCTGATGTAAATTAAGAGTCCACTAAAACTAAATTGTTGGTTCTCTGTCTGTTCCACAGAATATACACACAGCAGTAAGTAAATAGCACAATAATATTTTACGTGAAAAACTCTCAGCTCACGGGATTAAAATCACGACCTACACTCGTAGGATTTCAACTTCACTAACCAAACAACTTTATATTACAACCTATTGTAACCTAGGAATTAAACTCTTAATCCCTCATCTACTTGCAATAACTATATTGCAATTCTGTTTGTAATAACTCTATTACAAAGCTAATCACTTTGACTAACTATAGTCAAACACAAATACAAGGTTTATGGTTTACAAAGGTATCCTATGAGATGCTTCTAAATAAGCTGAATAGGAGTTACAAGTGAATAACATTAACAAAGATACAACAAAGCTAAGGACACACGATGTACTCAATGCTGGGATCTGGCCCTTCGTTCTGTTGTTACATTGTTCTTCAATACCTTAGAGTAAATGAAGGCGGCCGCATACTTGAGAGTAAATGCATTTTAGGGTTTGCAAGTGTGTGTAATCCCTTGCCTCATGTTGGTAATATATAAGTGAGGTTACCAAGGATGATGCAAGTAAATGTCTGATACACAGCATGCTTCAACAGTGACTGTTGCAATATTGCGTGTGCAGTGCAGCAGCTTTAACAGCTGTAAAGAGTTGACTTGTACTATGACCGGAGGAACTGATATCCATATGTTCCCTCTGTCATTCCCTTAACTGATTTTATTAGAACTTGTGCCAGACATTTGACTTGTTGTTCTGAGCACTGAGAGGTTTTGAATCAGGTTCCCTATCTGGTTCTCATATGAAATTTGTTAAATTATCAAAACAAAAAGGCACATAACTTTCAATTTTCCCCTTTTTGATGATGACAAACTTAGAATTGAAATTCCCCCTCATAACAAGATCTTTATATTGTTCCCCCTGCAGATTTTCCATATTCTCCCTTTCAATTTTCTACCCACTTTTGGCATCATAAAAAGAATTGTGCAAGTAAACACAAAAAAAAAAAAAAAAAAAAAAAAAAAAAAAAAAAAAAAAAAAAAAAAAAAAAAAAAAAAAAAAAAAAAAAAAGTCTAGCAAAGTTAACTTATGCCACTTGTGAGCACACAACATAGCTAAATATTGAACACAAGAGTATAACATGCATAGAAAGAGGACTAAGATGCTCATTAAATTTAAGGAGAAGAAAAACAAATAGTAGTACAATCATTACAAAACATCCACAAAATAAACATTACTAAAGTACCACAGTCATAGGGACAAGATATCAAAACAGGACACTAGAGAATAGAACAGGGGCTGATAAAGTGGACACTCACAAGGGGACAATTTAGGGGGCACTTGAAGATGGAGGGAAGGACGAAGGGGCAAGAGCCTTCAGGAGATCATCCACTCGAGCATAAACAGCCTTCTGCTCATTGATCAGCTGCTCTTTCAGGTTCTCAACATGTTTTCTCAGCTCTGCATTATAAGTCGTCAAGCGGGAAACTTCAGCACCTTGAGCACTACTAGAACCAAGTTCCGCGCTGGCTTGACTGAGCTTTCCCTAAAGAATGAAATTAAGGGCCTTCAGCCTCCTTATATCCTCGTTAGCAGCACTCTAAGCATCAATCAACTGAGAAATTGTAGAATTACTACCAACTCCCGCCTTCTTATAAATACACTCGCATTCTTCCAAGGTATTCATTGACAACATTTGCTTATGAGTTCCCACGGTTGCTCTCCCCAAGGGCACTTTAAAATGTTCAAAAACATAAATGAGCAAGAATCCATATGGCAACCCATGGTTCCCATCCTTGAAGTCTGCTAACTTCTTCATGTGTTCAATCAGGATCCCGGGCAGATTGATAGAAGTGTATCCGCCCAATGCCTCTATCGATGTAATGGATCGTCTTTCAGCTCGCGATAGCAGGACCTTGTTCACCATCTCAAACATGAGTTGGTATTCTGGAAGTAGTACCCTCTTATGCACTCGTTCCCCTTGTTGAACAGCTTGAGGCTTTAGAATCAGCTTCCTAAAACTTCGGGAACAAGTCCTCTCAACAATTGAGATCCCCTCAGCATGCATATCAAGAATATGTCCCAGCACAGCCTCATCAAACACAAAATCCACCCATTTACCTTCAAGGAAATGTTTTCATCCTCCACAGTGAACAGATCATCATAAAAACTGCGAACTTCCTCCTCATAAACCTTTGAACTCTGAACAGTAAACAGATGAGTCCACTTTTGGAATTTTCATATTTCAGCCAATTGCCTCATGCCTGACTTGTCAAAAATGTCGGTATCAAAAACCCTTCCCCATAGCACTTTTTGCTTCTTCAGGTTTGATTTTTTATTTTTCAATCTTAGGCACATCATCTTTGGCCCTTTTTAAGGAACCAGGTTCCTCACTACTACTTGGCTTTCTCTCGTCGGACTTCTTCTTCCCAACACCTTTCTCCTTCCCAGTAGATTTTTCCTTCTTACCAGAATACTCCTTCTCAGGACTTTCTTCATTCCCTAAATCCTGTCTGGTATAAATACGGAATATCTTGTGCACCGAGTTACTTTTTTAGTAAAGGATAACTGCATTTGCATGTCTTATTTCTAAACATTCTAATAACTCAGTCTCACGTGGGGTTAGAATTGGATGTTTGGGGACCATAGGACAAGGATATAGTCTTCAATCCAGTTGTCCCTTGAAAGTTGAAAGTCTTGTGGGCGTGCAAACTGCAAACCATGTAACACAATCTAAAATTGAGTTTGAATACATCCTACGTGGTGTCCTGTAATTAAAAAAAAAGAGTTAGAATAAATCATTTGACTGCAACAGCATGGCTTGAGCAGGTCTTTAGGTTGGAAAATAAGTAATGTTATATTATATTATATTCTTGTATTTTAATTATGTTATATAACTATAATTGTATTGGTAAATGGAATCATTTACTATATAAATACTCCTATGAAGTATGTAATTTTTTCTTTAAAAGAATGACAAAATTATTTAAACATGAAATTGAGAAATTATGATTGAACATAGACAAACTAAGATAAGGGTAAATGAGAAAGATAAGAAGTCCAAAGAAAAATTGACTTAAAATTTCCAGATTTTTATGTAAAGAATATATAAAATCAGTAACCAAATTCAAAATTTTACTTTATTAATGCTATTTCAAAATTATATTTTTGCAATTCACTACTAAAAAGGTCTTATACTAATTAATACTAAAGATTATTCCTTATTAGCTTCTCGTACTTTAATGGGCGACATACATGTACAACCTAGATTAATCAAATATATTAATCAATCAATCAATTATACCTCAATCATATTAGTTTGAATTGACTCTATGAATAATTCGCATCTATTCCTTCATTTCGATGCTTCAATCTCATTCCATTCTATATAAATATTATGGCTTTTGAAAAAATTAATTCTCCAAATATCATACTTATTCTAACCAAATAGGAGTATACTAATAGCCTGTTTGGCCAAGCATCTTTTTGGCTAAAAGTGTTTTTAGTAGAATATTTGGCCAACCAAATAGGAGAAATATTTGGCATAACTGTCACAATTACATAGAATCATTTTATTCGCTTAACTTGCAACTAATTTTTCTTTCTAAAGATTTATTTGGTACATCAAGACAAGAATTAAAACAATTTGATATATTGATAATGGAAACAGATCATTTCAGGACAAAAGAAGAGTCAAAGAGTCCCTCTAAATGAATGGCAATATGGCAGGCTGGCAAGTCCATAGCCAAATATTCAGGTCAATCTAGTACAAAGAGCACAAAACCAAATTTAGATTCTGCACCTGAAGTAGACTCATTTTATGTTTTGGCCAGACAAGGGAGATAACAACTCTCCCAACTATAAACACATACCCCAAGCACCAGAGGGTGTCGCCTAGTAATCAATGAAATGGGTTGAGAACCTTGAGGTCTCAAGTATCTAATACTTTGCTGACGGGAGGTAACAGGTACCCATTGAATTAGTCGAAGAGCGTGCAAGCTCGCTCGAGCACCACGATTATAAAAATAAATAAAAAATAAACATATACCCCAACTTACCTTATAATCCATCTCTCCCAATTTATACATCACGAACGTCTCAAAATGTTTGACATTATTTCACTAATCATATTTGCTTATATGACTTTCAAGAATGCAAATAAGTTGAACTATTTGATCTTTTACATTTCGATCTGACATTTTTCTAAATATTAAACCAGCTTTGCAATTGTTATTATGATGTGATTTTCCACTACTAATAACATGATACACAAATCAAATTAACACAACCGGCTAAGGAATGAGCTAATTTACAAACTCTAGACTCAAGTTCACCTTCTTTGTCTTTATCCACAACCAAGTTTGGTCAATCAGATCATCACAATAGTACTTCTTGGCCTGCTATTCCTAAGGTGTTGAGTGAGAACCAAACTTAGCTATGCTTTAGACAAGTCCAGAACACCAGTGCTGACCAAATTACTCCACAAAAGAAATATAATTTCTAAGGAAAAATGACTAGAAATAACAATAACATAATGCGACAGTTCGAATATCTAAGTTCCAACATAGTCTTCAGCTGTTAATGTAATTTCAAAATGTGTTTAACGTATGTTCTCTAAATCTTTTTCCAAGTTAGACAAAATGTTAAAAGACACAAGTCTAATATTGTACTAATAGTTACAGTAAACAAACTAAACGATCATATGGTGTACAAGTATGTTTGTAGCCCCTCCTGCACCAACCGAGACAACAGCCTGAAAATCCGCCATATGGTGTTTAACTTCCTGAGTGGAAATATATTGGGAGTTGGGACTCGCACCAAACTTATAGTTGGGGATGGGGAAAAGATCAGAATGTGGATTGATCCTTGGCTTGACTAGATTCATATGTCCCAGTTATTTCCTGCAGTGTATGTAAGGAAAGAGGCTTTCATTGCTGAAGATTTGAGAAGGAATCCCTTTGATTGGGAGGTAGAAGAATGGGCACAATCATTGCACAAGTTGAGTGGAATCTATTACAGACGGGAGAACCTAATACAATAAACTGGATTGGAAGGAAATATGGTGAATACACTGTCCAGTCCTGTTATTACAGACTGAAGAACATTGATGATTTACAAAATGGGTGGCCACTGAAAGCTATATGGAAGACAAACGTATCAACAAGGGCAGCAGTCATTGAATGGATAACGGTAAACAATGCATGTGTTGGTGCATAAATCACTTTGAATCCACCAGTCTTCCTTTTTTTGCACTGTCCTTGCAGGAAATTTGGACAATGTTCGTTAATGTTTTTTGGGGTACTATGGCTGCCTCCTTTAACTCTAGCAGGGTCAGAAGATCAATAAACAACTGAAATACATCTGGAATAGAGTCCCTTTGTGTATGGAAAGAACGAAACAGAATGTGTTTTGAAGACAAGCCTGTATGTTTTAAAGGTAGGATTCTAGAAATGTTATGTTCTTGATGTAATCTGCAGTTCCTTTTGGATGTAAATTCGTTTTGTTGACTCTTTGGATTCCCTACGAATCTGAGGAGACAAAAGTCTTTTTGCTGCACATATTGGCACCTTCTTGGTGCAATTAATGAAATTTCATTTACTTACAAAACAAATATCAGATATTATATTGCGGAATCTACTGATGGGTTTCAAGTATCTTACATAGAGTATCCCTTACTTAGAGCAGCCAAAACAACATCATGTTGGCCATCTTTTCACATGGATAGAAGAAACTAGTATCAGGACTATTTTTGATATTCCAAAAATAGAGTGCTCTACATAACACCATTACACTTGTTGCACTAGAATAAACTTTATAGGCAACCATGACAACTAAAAGGAATGAGGTTCATAAAAGAAGGCACGAAAAATACAAGCAGACTGGTACATTTTATCATTGTGCACGGAAGAATTTACATCCATCACGAAGCAACTTACGAGTTCCATTTGGCTATGTTTGTCACCTCTTAGGGACCAAAAGGTTAATTCAAGATCCCAGAAATATGTGCTTACCTCAGAAAATAATGCTAACGCTTTTCTTGAGCTATTCATTGTTCCAATAGTTCCGCAGCTGTGACATATGCAGAAGTAGCTCATCCCTGCCCAAACCAGAGACGCTACTAGTCATTATCCATGCAGGTGGATGCTGATAATTCTGCCTGATAAGCTCTTGGAAATCTCTAATATTCTCGTCGGGCCTTTTTGCCTTCCCTCCCTTCATTTTGTCACACTTCGTGAAAACGAAAGTTATTGGTATCTGTAAATGTGTTGCAAAAGTCACTTATCGTGGAAAAAATGTTATATGAAAGTCAACAATGGTAACATATGACTTATTTTATAAGTAGTAATGGGAATAAATGACTTCAATTAGACACATGAAAAAGAATGGAAATGCTAAAAAAAAAGACTATGAAATTCAGCTAATCAGAAGCATACCTTATTGCGTCCGAGCCAATTAGCACAATCAAGGTCAATCTTCTGAGGGGGTACACTAGCATCAATTAGAAGCAGAACTGACACCAAGGTATCTCGATTTAAAAAGTAACCTTTTGTGAAGGAGGACCAATCCATTCTAGCAGCTTCAGAAGCATTAGCAAAACTGAAACAAGCAACAAGAAATAACTTAGAAGCAGACAAAACAGTCGATTTCCATACTAATGCAAAAGGTACAAAGAACTAAGTGATGGAAAAACATAACTCAAAATGTTAGTTGACAAAGGAAATAAGAGAGTGCAAATTCAATACATAAAGGACACCTTCTACGACTATGCTTGAGACCGGAAAGGGGAAGTTAAGGGAAAGTTAAAGGGGAGAAAATCAGATTCAATTACTTAGATGAATGATATACATTGGCTGTTTCATAGGACCAGAAGTAGAAGTTGAAATAGCAGATAAGGAGATCCCTCCTCTTTTACATCCCCTCCAAACATGTTTATTTATCAAACATGGGAAATGATTACTTTTACTTCCCTTCGTCATTTATTCCCTACCAACCAAGGAAAATGACCTTACTCCACCATTGTTACTTCCATTCCTCCAACATTTTCTCCTCTCCCCCAACCCCCAAACCAAAAACTCCTAAAGAAGGCATAGCTACGGTCAGGTTCTACAGACTTGTAATCCTTAAACAGTAGCAAGATCTATAAAAAGATTTGTTGAGACATAATAAGTAAATAAAAGTGTGTTCTCTCTATCAACTGAAGCTTTTAGATGAGATGATCACGCACTTCAACATAATACCAGAGCAGGCAGAGGTCATGGTTCGAGTCTCGCCGCCATCCATTATCAAAAAGAATTTTCAGGTGCTTGGTTCATAAAAAGGAATCAAGCCCGCACGTGAGTGAGCGTGTTGAAGACATAATTAAGTAAATAAAATTGTGTTCTCTAACAGTTTAAGCTTTTAGATGATATGGTCACACACTTCAACAAGAATAAAAGATGAACTAAATAAATCAATTATAACCTTCGTTACCATTTGGCAGGTAGATTTGTAACTTAACAAAAAATCTTATTTAAGTTACTCCAATACATCTTCAAGTAAATGTTACGACAGACTGTTCTATCAAGGCGTGAACAAGAACAGACACGTCTGATTGCTTGGTCTAGAATTTACAACACTTCCACTGAATTAGGTTGATGTCAGCTGAATTGATTTGTCTAGCCCTCAATATACTAACAGTAAACTGACTTTTGATATTTGGATCTTATCAAATATACTAATTTTCTCCCTGCGGCTCTGTCAGAAACCATCTATTTCTGTTGTCTAGAGGCTATAGTAAATATGTTTGACAGTTTCCTCCTTCCTTTACATATCTAGAGTTGCCTTCACATGGTCAGAGAGAAGACTTTTCAGCTTCTTTAATGTAAACTTTAAAAAGATGTAATTGGGAATTCACACTTTTTCCAATTCTACCTCAGGAAAAATAGGTACAACGGTTTAAGATGGAAAAATAAAGCAAATGAAGAATGATATTTCCAGATGAAGGTTGGAACCGTGATGCTTTTATTAGGAACGGCAGTAAAAGCCGTAACATTCAAACAAGAGGAGCATGTAAGCAATGTAAAAAGAAACAACGCTTATTTGTACTGCAAATATATTGTTTATCTTGGATAAGGCTGCAATGTGCTTTATAAGTGTCAGAGCAGACATATCTGAAAGCAAGATATGAGATTCAATGTTTGGACTGACATGGGGTTAGTAAAGGAGCACCTGGACTAAAGAATTCAGTTAGCAACTAGGGAAGACTCCGTAAATAAGTTCCTGAGTGGCAATTAAGACATTTTCATTGCATATCCCTTTTTCATGGGTATTTCGAGAATTCAATCACTTAAATTGTAACAGTCTATGTAGTTGTATTTCCAAGATGATTGGGATCAAGATGATGTTTTTCCTCATTTGAAGCTTTTTACAAATGATGTAAATCATGTAGTTCAGCTAGTTTGGTTTTGAGGCATAGTACATTGCCTAATCGAACAAACCAGTAGACTTTATCAAACCAAGTGAAGTCGTTCTTGCGTCCGAATAAAGCATCAAGTAGGGTAAGCATTTACTCGAGACTACCGCTATAGCTTACTAATCCCCAACCTGCTTAACACTCTCTGAAATAACTTGATCCAACACATTTCATTGTAATAATAAAAAAGCTTCACTTATCAAAGAGTACCCTAGCAAATAGCATAACCAAGAAATTGCTTACCCATAACCAGGCAAATCCACAATGTACCAACTCTTGTTCACCAAGAAATGATTAATCAGTTGAGTCTTCCCTGTACATTTAAACATACTAAAATTAGAATTCACCTCTAATTCAAATATGTACCGAGTAAATACTGCACTTAATCCAATTTATGTGACCCTATTTCCTTTTTAGACTGTTTCAAAATGAACATCCTACATTTGAAAAAAAAATAACTTGAACTTCTCATTTTACCCTTAATGACAATCTTTTATAGCACATGTTTTAGACCACAAGTTTTACCAAACTTATAGTCACATGAACATTATAAACAACTATGTGTCAATCCCATCATGCCATCATGGGCAGCGCATCCATTTGCTCCAGAAGAATTGGCGGATCGAAACCTTCTCCTTACATTGACTCCACCACTGTGGGCTTGCTTATGTTGTCAGTACCACGCTCGGATAAAGGAGGAGGGTTGCAGTAAGCTCACAGCCAGCGTAAAACTTGCCAATTCATAATGAATCCTCATAATATAGTTACTATGACATATTTAAGACTACAAGTTTCAGAATTCTTCATTTCTTTCTTCAATTCTATGTTCGGTCAAACTATGTCACATAAATTGAAACGAATGGATACTTAAATACAGCTAATGCAAACGGGCTCTAAATAAGAAGTACATTGCAAATATTCAAACCTGGTTTCTTAGAAGTAAGAGCAACCTCTTTCTTCTTACACAAAGCATTAATAAGCGATGATTTTCCAACATTGGACCGACCCAACATAGCAAATTCGGGTTTCTCATCTTTTGGACAATCCTTAGGTTTATTACTACTCTTCACAAACTCCACCTCTTTAATTTTAGAGTCCCCCGCATAGGGCCCCACAACGATATTGGATCCGGGTAAAATCATATCTTCGGTTATATCTTCGGGTTCAACTCCTGGAGCCATGAATAGTACTTTCTTGGCTAATATTGAAGCTGCTGATTCTGAAGTTGTAGCTGAAGATTTAAAGGTTTTTGAAGTAAAGGCATGAATAGAGAAATGGGGATTTTTTGGGTATGAATTTTGAGAAAAGGGGATTTTGGGAAGTGAATAAGGGAGATTGGTAGATTGAGGGAAAGTGGAGAAGAGATGGAAATTGAAGAGGCGAAACCTTGACACTACTTGCATTTTTTAGCACAATTCAATGGCTGCACTGCACTGGTTCCACACTACTTATCGTTCTCAAGATAAATTTATAACTTTACTTTCTTGGCCAAAAAAGAATGAGGGGCTTAGATTATAAGGTCAAATCATTTAACTTTCAGTTTTTAATTTAAAGTGTATATAGTTAGATTAAATAGAAAATTATAATTAGTCATAATTTGCTACACTTTATAACAAAAATATTTGAAAGTTGAATAAAAAATCGTAGTAAATATTTTTCAAAAAATATTTTCTCCCATAGTGTTTTCTTAGAATACTATATATTTTTTTAAAGGCCAAATACATAGACAGTCCATTAAACTTGGCCCAATTTTTTATTTTGACACTCTAACTCAATTCTATTTTATTTTAGCCCTCCAATTCCATTTCTTATGTTTCACTTTAACACAAAAGCGGACTAGATTCAGAGTGTGAGTTGCCTCACCCTATAGGCACGTGGGGGAGATTTTTTTTTGGGCAAATGCATATACAGCCCATTCAACTTGGCTTCATTTTTTATTTTGGCACTCTATCTCAACCTTGTTTAATTTTGGCCCTCCAACTCTATTTCTTATGTTTCATTTTAACACAAAAGCTCACTAGTCACATAGTGTGAATTGGTTCACATGGTAGGCGCGTAAGACAGATTGTTTATGGTAAAATTCCTTCTCCAACAGTAATAAAATAACTGTTGGCCCCATTTTTAATCCCCTAACTTCCTTCCCTCATATTTCATCTTTATTATTTACTTTCTCATTTACTGTTTATATGAAAACCAATCGATTTCAGTCGGTTTCTTAAAAAATAAATTTTGCGGGACACTAAAAGAGTTTCATGCATTTTTGCGCAAAAAAAAAATGATCGAAGTTGGTCGGTTTCGTAAAAAAAATTAAAATATAAAATATTTTGAAATAAATTTTATATTTCGTGAAACGTGTGTGTATGCATATCCTGAAATACCCATAAATTTCACAAACTTCTGAATCGCCAAACTTTCGAAACCGTGAACTTTCGAACCCGTAAACTTTATAATTTCTAAACCCGTAAACTTCCAAACACATAAAACTGTGAACTCATAATTTTGGAACTTGTAAAATTTCGAACCTGTAAATCAAAAGATGAAAAAACTAAAACTGAAAATATAAAAAAAAAAATATTGTTTCCCCGGGAATGAAAAAACTGAAAAAAGATGAACAACATTTAATTGGATATTTATTACACCTCAGATTTGTGTATACACACGCGCTATATTTTCTTTGCACTGGTTTCAGCTTTTGTGTTAAAATGAAACATAAGAAGTAGAGTTGGAGGGCCAAAATAGAACAAGCTTTAGATAGAGTGCCAAAATAAAAAATGGGACCAAGTTGAATGGGTTGTATATGTATTTGGCCAAGCAAGTATGTATACGCGTTGCATTTTTACGTCGGATAAAAGTTTTTGTGTTAAAATAAAACATAAGAAATAGAATTGGAGGGCCAAAATAGAACAAGGTTGAGATAGAGTGCCAAAATAAAAAATGGAGTCAAGTTGGGTTGTCTATGTATTTGACCTTTTTTAAAATATATTTTTGCTAAGTAATCAAATACCACAAAATAAGCAAGAAAATTGCGATTGTTCTGGCTGTCTACATTTGCTCAGTAATCTCAGCCTAGTTGTTTATATTCGCTTATTGTGATTATGCAATATGAAGAGAGTGAAAAAGAAACAACAAAATATTGTATAAGATGTCCAAAATATAGTCAAGCAGAAATTTGTGTCTTAGTTTCAAACAATAGCTCCTCGTGCTAAATTTATAGAACAAACTGAACAACGTATACAAAAATTTATGAACAAACTTAACAGAGATAAAGTTGCTAATACATATTTTTATTTTTTGAAGGCAATGACCCGTTTGTCCATAAAAATTAAAAAAAAATAAAAATTCTTTTTAAAAATGTGTTTGTCCATAAAATTTGCATGTTTTAAAAAAAATCGAAAATAAAATTTTCAAAAACCAAAAAGTGATTTTGACCACTTTTTCAAAATTTTCAAAACTGCAATATTTTTTTTCAAATGAAATGCATGTCCAAATATAATTTCAAATTCCAAATACCATTTTTCAACTTAACTATATATATTCCTTTTTCAAAAATTAATTTTTTTATGTCCAAATGCCTATTTAGGTCAAAAGGTATTAGTGCAATGAGAGTACTTAAACAATAATGTAACGACCCGACCGGTCATTTTGAGCTCTAGCGCGTCGTTCAGCAGTTTGAGACCATAAGCAACTTCACTTCAGGTATTATGACTTGTACGCGTAGTCGGAATTGAGATTCAGGGAGCTCAGAGTTGATTTGGAAAGAAAAATCTCATTTTGGAAGCTTTAAGTTGGAGGAATTGACTAAGATTGGATTTTTGAGTAAACAGTCTCGGAATTCGGGTTTGAAGGTTCCAACAGGTTCGTATGATGATTTCGGACTTGGGCGTATGTCCGGATCGAGTTTTGGATGACTCGGGAGCGTTTCAGCGCCTATTGTGGAAGTTGGCATTTTGGAAGAATTTCATAAATTTGGGTTGAAGTGCATTTCAATGCTGTCGATATCTGTTTGGAATTTCGAGCCTGGGAATAGCTCAGTATGGTGAAACTGGTATTGGGAGCGTGTCCGGAAGTGAATTTGGAGGTCCGTACGTCATTTTTGGGGTCATTTGGCAAAAGTTAAAAATTTGAAGGTTTTTAGAGAGTTTGACCGGGAGTGGACTTTTTGATATCGGGGTCGGATTCCGATTCCGAAAGTTGGAGTAGGTCCGTAATGTTAAATGTGATTTGTTTGCAAAATTTGAGGGTAATCGGGCGTGATTTGATAGATTTCGGCATTGAATGAGGAAGTTTGAAGTTCCAAAGTTCATAAAGCTTGAATTGGAGTGTGATTTGAGGTATTAGAATTGTTTGATGTGATTTGAGGCCTCGAACAGGTCCGCATTATATTTTGGAACTGGTTGGTGTGATTGGACGGGGTTCCGGGGGACCTCGGGTGGATTTCTGATGGTTATCAGATTAAAAATAAAATTTTAGGAAGGGCTGAAGCAGTTGGGCTTCTGGTGTAATCGCACCTGTGAGAAGAGGGCCGCAGGTGCGAGTCCGCAGATACGAGAAAGGATTCACAGAACCGGATTTTGCTAGGGAAGGTGTGGACCGCAGACGCGGTCGAGATCCGCAGAAGCGGGAGCGCACCTGCGCGCGTGGAGCCCCAGAAGCGGAGGTGCGGAAGCAGATGGTGGTTGTAGATGTGGAGTTGAGGGGTCTGGTGGAAGATTATGCGGTAGTTGGGTCGCACCCGCAGAACCGCATGAGCGGTCAAGTGACCGCAGGTGCGGAAGTCGGGGCTGGGTAGTGTCTTCTTTAAAACGAAGGTTTGGCTCTATCTCATTTCATTTCTCCCATGGGAGTCGATTTTGGAGCACATTGGAGCGCCATCTTCATCAATCATAATGGGGCAAGTGTTTTCTTCACAATTTTGAGTTAAATACATGAGTTTATATGGATTTAGACATGAAAAATTGTAAAAATTTGAAATTTTGAAGAAAAACCTAGAAATTGGTATTTTTGGAATTTGACCACGAATTTGGGTAAGGAATTGAGAACAAATTATATATTTGAGTTCAGAATGCTTTGGGTAATGTTTATCTTCAAAATATTTTTGAAATCCGAGCATATGGGCTCGAGGGTGATTTTATTGACTTTCCAAGCGAAGTTGAGAATTGTTGTAAATTGAATTATTGTGAGTATTAGAGTATATTATTTTGGGTTTGCACATTTATTGACTAGTTTGGAGCGTTGGGCATCAATTTGAATTGTTGGAAAGGCTTGGGAGCCAGCTATGGAACTTCAGAGCGAGGTAAGTCTCCTTTCTAACCTTGTAAGAGGGAATTAACCCCATATGTAAATTAAATAAATGTTTGTACCTAATTATGGGGGCTACGTACGTACGAGGTGACGAGAGCCCGTATGTAGCTACTATTATGCTATTGTCCGGGTAATTTAGGACCCGTATCATTCTATACTTGAAATGTTTATGCCCTTACTTGCTAATATAATCACCTAGTCATGATAGAAATTGATAAAATAATTGTATAAGGTTAAACTCACTTACTTGAAGGTTTGTATGAGATACTTAACTGTAAATGAGAAACTTGTATTTTCTTGAAAAAATTATTATTTGTGGATCGGGCCGCACGCCTCGGTAGTAAATAGATGCATCTATGGTTCGCGTCATTCAACCCTCTGGCAGTGCACAGTTTAAATATTTGTTGGATCGGGATGTACGACCTCGATATTATTTGCGCATGATTTAATTGATTGATTTGAAAATCGTAATAATTGATATTGCCTTCTCGACCTGAGATAAATTGTTAAATAATGGAAAATCAATTTGGAGAGTTCTTAATTAGAAAAGAACTGCTTACTTACTTTAGAATAATGGGCTTGCAACCGTTTTAATTAATCCTTCAAGTCTAATTTAATGATATTATTCTATTTACTTATAGCCCATAGTAAGTGTCGAAATCGACCCCTTGTCACTACTTCTTCGAGGTTAGGCGAGATACTTACTGGGTACGCATTGATTTACGTACTCATACTACACTTGCTGCATATTTTGTGCAGGTACATATATGACTAGTGGCCTTGTGGGCGCAGAGGAGCGGTTATTACGAGGACTTAGGTGAGTTGCGTCTTATATACGATCCGCAGCCAGCAGACTCTCCTTCAGAGTATGATATTTTCTTTCCTGTCCAAATTTGTATTCCGAACAGTTATTGTATTTTATTTTAAACTCCTAAAAAATGCTCATGCACTTGTGACACTGGGTTTTGGGATAATTATGGGATATTCAGTATTGAAATTGGAAAAGATTGTATTTATTTTGTAAATTCATCTTTTACTAGATAAATTGAAGTAAATTTACGATTTCAAAAATATTAAAATGAGAATTTAATTAACAATTTAGTGTTGTCTTGTCTGATAGTGGTGTCTGGCGCCATCACGACCCTTAACGGATTTTGGATCGTGACAATATGGTATCAGAGTACTA